TTCCACTGCACTACTGGCAGTGTCCACTGCCCTACTGTTTGGCAGTGTCCTCTTTTAATGTAGGTTCACTTTATATTTGTAAAGTGACATTTTTTAATTTTTTTTTTTTTACATTTTTCTTACTATTCAATTAGGCCTTGCTAGTTAATTTCTTTAAAAAAAGGCCTTGATGTTTGATCTCTTTCATGTTGTTTATATAAATCTCTCATACTCATACAAATGAGCGCAGAGAGGCCACTCCAGGTGGAAACGTGAACAGTTAATCATGAGCTCACCACTGCTGCCTTGATAATCATTTGCATGATGAAGAGAACTGAAAAAAACAGGCACTGTGGAAAATGCTCAGTCAAGCACCTTAATGAAGGCGCATCTTTATTTGGTGAGACAAAGTAGCAAATATAATAAAATTTGACCAGCCTGAAGTGAACAGTGTGACTCCAACGGATGGCCCGTCCGCTCTGAGGGAGCTGAGATCAGAGAACGCTCCTGTCGGCTTCCAATCACGTGGTGTCATCGTCATGGGTGGTGTCACCATGGCAAGCGAAGGCAGTGTCCGGCGTTGGCTTCAGCTGGGGATGGATGTGTAGGGTTACCAAGACGACATGTTTCACGCAGTTGCGCTTTGTCAAGTCTCTGAAAACCCTGACCGGCAGCCATTATATAGAAGAGCATTAAAGGGAAGGCTGGCTGAGTGTAATTAGCAGGGGATGGGGTGTCAATCAGAGCGGACGGCTCGTCCTGAAGCAATGCTGAATACAAATTTAAAAGTACAACCTGCAAATTATAGAAAGTGGTGCCAATTAATGGAGTGCTATGTATGAGAACACTATTGGAAAACATGATATACTTTTATCTTTAGCAGAATTAATGTAATAACAAAACAATAAAATAATAAAGGAAAAACTTCCTTGTGGGAGAACTCTAAGTTAAAAATGACATTGCTGGTACATGGAAGCTATGTCAAAAAATGCGGTTATAGTGAGGTAATTTTGGGTATATGGACAAAGAAGGGGGGGAGCTTGGCATATGAAGATAAAAATGACTGTATAAAAGGTACTACTAAAAAAAAATATAGTAAAATCAATATGGGTACCAAATTAGGTAGCTCATATGTGCGTAATCAAATAAACGCAATAGATGCGTAGTAACATGTATTCATAATTGAGTAAACACAATATATACGCTGACACCACGTGATTTGAAGCCGACAGGAGCGTTCTCCGATCTCAGCTCCCTACAGAGGGCCGTCCGTTGGAGTCACACTGTTCACTTCAGGTTGGTCAAATTTTTTATATTTTCTACTTTGTCTCACCCAATAAAGATGCACCTTAAGGTGCTTGACTGAGAGCATTTTCCACAGCGCATATTTTTTTTCGGTTCACCTCTCAAAGACTGCCTACCCCTGATAAAAAAAAGAGAAGTTCATTGTCAGGGTTTATATAGACAAGCATCAGAGATTCAGATTTATAAAATAGTTTGCAGATATATTTTAACTATTTTAGAAAACAGGACAATTGAAAAAAAACTAAACAGAGTCACCTCTTTGGGGGAAGCCAATTTTATTTTTAATTTAAATCTTAGAAAAAGAGTTACATCCCAAAATTCTATCATTTATTGCCTTAATGTCCACAAAGTAAATACAGTCTTATTACTAACATGCCATTTGTTCACGCGCCTCATACCTGTATCTGACCATTTCAGGTCTCTGTCTGGTGATTAGGACAATGATTTTCTTTCAAGCATTAGATAATTTATTCAATGTATAATTGAGGAATTAGACCACCATAATCTGATACATTACCTTTGGTTGGATTCCAGTTGAATGAATCACCCAACCTCAATGTGTTTTGGGAGGTTTGGTATGAAGTTTTCTGCACCCCAACTGATGTGAAGTTTACAGGGAAGATCATTCTTTGTTTTTATTTTATGATTCCAACAACATGAAGCTAATGCTAAGCCTCCTGCAGCTGGGAGGCCAGACAGAGCCAATGGAATTTCTGAGAAAAAAACATTTAGGGAATATTCACATTACAGAGAATGTTAATGCAACATATTACAGTGCATTACGGCCCACTGCCCTAAGACAGCCCATTCATTCTGAAAGTACTGGCAGTGCAGCTTGACTCTACAAACATTGGGCATGTACCTTGCCATGAGCATTGTGATGTGCTGCAGTGCATAGTCCTCTACTGTGCAGAGTGTTGGAGTGTCATTCAAAACAAATGGCATCTCAAAGCACTGCGATGCGTGTGCTGCACTACACAATCAGTTTTTTTTATGGATTTTATGTGGAATATATGTAATTAAAAATACCATTTCTCTCTTTTAAGCTACATAAAATAATTAAAAAAAAAAAACCACACAACATACGGACATTTTCCATTCCGATTCAAGTCATCAATGATCTCTTCTCAGATTCCTCTAGAATAGTCTGAGTGCACTCATTTACAACATGCCTGCTATGGTATTATAACATCAGAGGGTCCATAACATGGGGGGGTTTGGAATATAAAGGCTTTTTCAGATATGTGATGAACAGTGTTAGGGGTCTGTGTAGATGGCTTTTGTTCTCTCCAATATACTATGGGTATGCAAAACCTGCTTGAAGCAGGAAAGGAGGTCGCCTGCAGATCAAATGCACCTGTCAGTGAATTCTATGATCTCACATGTCTCAAACTAATGCCATCAACACAAGTCTTTGGCCGGATGGCACAGGCCCTAAGGCAGACACTGCTCAGTGCTCTGCATTTTCTGACAAGCTTCATTCATCTCCATGATGTCTGGAGGTCTCATATACATACAATGAAAAGATCTGTTAATTCTGGATATTGGTCAGCAATGGACTCTGAATTAATGGAAAGGAAATGCCAATGTTGGTCTGACCTTTGCTGTTTGTAGATGACATCACCATTCATTGCAAAGATGGCTGAAGCCTCTCAGAAACATTCTGACATACATGTTCAGGGCAGCGGGAGAGATGTGTCTGACATAACGTGTCATCATCCATCTGAAGATGCCTAGCAATGAATTCCAGCATATGACAGTGGTGTCCATGATGGAATGAGATGGTAAATGTAGGCATGGTATAATGTCTTTTTTTACAAATCATCAACAAATCAAACTATAAACTATCAATTACAAGTATAATAAAACCAACAAAATTGAAAACCTTCACCTTATTGCAAATATGTAAAAGTTATTAAAAAATGCAATGCTAAAAAGCAGAATTGTGTTGTATAATATGATAATTGCTATATAAATCCTATCCCTACAGAAAACCTGTCATAGAATATGGCACACTGTGTTTATTATCTCATTAGCAATGTATCAGGATATCAATGTTCTTCTGACTAATGTACAGAGAATCTGTCCCCCAACATCATAGGAAAGGCTGCTCCCTATACATGGCTGGTAATAAACGGAACCCGTGAGGACGGAAATATGAGAGCCACCACTGTGGATCAGTTTTTAGGAGGGCAAGTTCTGGGGCTGTCATCTTGGTCCTTGAACTACTACTCATCCTGGTCCTTGAATCCACTACACAGGATTCCCTGACCTGAAACGAGCACACAGAAGGGAGTTCTGACAGCATGCCTGTTTCAGATCACTAACCCATGATGTACCCAAGTCAAAAAGCAGGTCAGCAATGGCATCTCCCATGAATCTATCCTCATGGGTTTACTGTAAAGTACATACATGTACAGGGGTCCAATGTGTGCTCCCCATCATCACTCAGATAATATATAGCAGTGGAGTACGGAATAAGATGATGGTACTATCAGGGATGTTGAATTCCTATAGCCCGATGCCAGGGACATGCATTTTCGGGCTCCGGGCAAGAAGTATTTTTTTTCACACTTAGCCCTACTGCGGGCAAGCAGCAGGGTTTAGAGCCACCCTCATGTAGCCTTCTGCGGGCCGTCCCCATCGACTAGCCGGCACTTCCGCCGGCTGATCATAGAGGAGGCAGCGGCAGAACCCACTGCGGAGCATGCCAGGGAAAGATCAGTACCTTCTCCCCCAGCAGAGATCAGGCGGCTCCCCGGTGTCACACTTATCCCTGACCCCCGAGGTGGAGCCTGCTACAAGGCTCGCAGTGATTGGGTGGGACTTGAGGGGGTGTGGCAGGACTCAGAGGTGACCACTCCTTTCCACAAATGTGCTGTTGTGACAGAAGGCTGCAGGACTGGTATGTGTGCTGTGTAGCTGCTGAGTGGAGAGACCAAGTGGAGGAACTACCAGGGTCTCAAAGGTCACACTTGTGACCTGGCTTTGGTGTTCTGCCACCATGGGAGGGCCACACGATGACAGGAAAGGGGCCCGCCTAGGGACCATAATAAAGGGCCTTAGGATAAGTGGGAATGGACATTAAAAAACTGCAACACCCACTAATTTATTCTCTTAGGGCCTCTGCTTTAAAAATATATAATGTTTGGGGATTTTAAGACATCTTCTAGCAAAGAATAAAAAAAAGTTTTCTCGCCATTAAGCCCCTTTTCGTTTTAAAAGCACCTCTGCCTAATAAACAGCAACCCTTCATAATTTCCATCCTGAAAAAAAAAAAAAAAAAAAAATTTTATTTGTGACGAGTAGATTGGGACCTCGATTTAGTCCTTGGACAAGTAGTATTTAAAAATATTTCCACACCCCTGTACTTACACAGCCCTGATCCAATCAGTTAAATCTATTAATGAGTATTTATGACACCACAGTCCTTTATAGGGGTCACATGGTCAGCCATGATGATTTGATCAATATAGGGAAAATCCTTCTCTCAATCTTCATACAATCGGTGTACCACCATTGTTTTACATTCAAATGTATGCCATTCACAAAACAATGGATTAGAATACATGACAGGTTCTCTTTAAATTACATAGCATCAGGTGTATTGATAAGAGCAGACAGAAGCAAGTAAAATAGGCCAAATCTGAATGAAGAACAGTTGTATCCCATCTTCCCCCGTGATGTCCTCACTTAATGCTCCATCGTGCACTCTCAGGCTTTCGGGTTGTTGGAGGAGTCAGAATTGGTATCTGAAGCTGTAAAAGAAAGTGTAGAAATGCATTGTGTATGAGGACCACGGTGAATGATGAGTAACATACAATGATTCCACTATATAAAGTACAGAGAGAGAACATCCTCCTGACACTCTGCTTTCCAGTATACAGAGGAATCTGTACAGACAGCCAATAATTGGGAGCTCCTCAGTTACTTCTATTTGTATCATATAATGTCGGCTCTGATAATAACGTTCCTTGTATCATAGGAGAGGATGATCTGCAGGACGTCTCATCTCCTCACATCTCCTACACACACCGCACACATACAATCACACAGGAACAGGACATGATGGATACTTACTATTGGTGGTCTTGTAGCCTCGTCCCTTCTCTGCAATGTATAAAATTGTGTTAGAGGCAGGAAAATACAACAAACATTATCTCCAAATCTGTCATAGAAAATATCCAAACTTTCACAATGTTGAGTCTGGGGGTCACATACATGGGACATGAACCATCAGAAAAGGCCTACACATGCTTAACAGGGACGGCTATGAAAAAAAACGATAGTACAATTTTTTTTTTTAACTCATTGATGAGCTGATTGCAAATTTTGTAAATGACACTATGGGGTCGATTTACTAAAACTGGAGATCTGGTGAAGCTCTGCATATAAAGAGCTGCACCAGTTTCTGAGTGCTCCCAGTTTTAGTACATCTCCCCCTATTGGTGCTCATAAGACATTAAAAGGACTCGGTCATAAGAGAATAATGGAGGCTGCCATTGCTGAAATCATCTTTTGAAAATGCTCCTTTGTTGTCATGCTGATGCTTTGGCCTCAATGTTGTTTGAGCTGCTGAACCAAAACAGTATTGAGTTATGGAATCTGATACTTTTCTGACATTTATTTACAGCATGCTTGTTCCAGGTCTGTGATGCAACATTACTAAAAACCCAACATCCCCTGGATGACCCCCCCACCCCTTGAGGCCCCCCTGTATTTCATACTTTATAAATTGTAAAGTGTCACACCTGTGTCACGATCACCGACACGGTCGCCGCCACCAAACATGCGACAATCGCATGACCGCGACTAACAGTAATACGTCACACCCGTGGCGTCAGACCCCAGACCTTCTCACCAACTCGTGACCAAAGGACCGGGGCCGATCTAAAAAAACCGCGGTGTGACGCGCGTAACAAGGCCACACCCAGCTGCACCCTGCACAGCGATTGCCCAGCTAATGGGCCACAATCGGTGCCTGCAGCCTGAATGCGCTTGTTACTGGGTCGGGTTAATTACGCAACTAACCCTCTACTGCCGCCACCACTTTTGTCGGAGACTGGGAAACTCCCGTTATCAAATATACACTATAATGATTGAAAAGTCGCCTGTCCAATACAGTCACCGCAGGCCGATTGGGCAGAGGATTAAAACAAACACAGTAGCGTCTCTTCAAAGGCAGGAATTCGTGAATTGCAAGTAAGCGCTTAGAAACAGTTTAACACTTTCAGAAATAAAGATTTATTACTAAAAGAGTCAAACAGGTGCAAATAAATATTTACAAAGAAAATGTAACTACATATATATATATATATATATATATATATATATATGCATATAAAAAGGTACAGCCAAGAGATAATGGGAAGGAAATTAAAGAGTTTCAGTTACTTGCCAATATGCCTTGGTTTGTAAGCAGATCCAAGTGCAGAGCAGGAAGGGTCTTTGATCTCCTCTGTTACGATGTTAAACCCAGGAGATGTGTGTGTTCAACTTCCAGGCTTGCTAGCCTGTCTCTCTTTTTTAAAATCCCTCTGCAAGGGGGGGGGGGGGGGTGGCTCTAGTCTGCCCAATACAATATTTTGGGCAGGAGGTCAGTGGATCATACTCCATGATATGAAACAGGTGACAGCTGACCTGAGAATGTTCAATTAACTGCTGTCAGTTTTATGAGGTTCCAACTTCTTTCAAGTCCTGGGAGAAGGTCTTATCTGTTTTATGATGGTGAGAAAATTTACACTTTCCCAGACTGCTGGCACCAACTAGGGATGCCTAACCTGTGGTTGACCCCCCTCCCAATCTGTCAGGAGATATGTTTGCCTCTCAGGAAGGAGGGGGGTAGGGAGTGTGAGGAATAAGGAATACTTCCATTAAAAAAAAAAAGGGGAACTCCGCGTCCAACTCTGATGAGCTAGTTTGCTACACCCTGTATTGTAAGTTTCTAGTAGTGTATTGGGAAAGATGGGTTTTTGAGGCGCAACTATTACAAAAAAATACTTTATTTATTTATTGCATCAATACTAAACAGGCATCTCCTGAAGGAGTGGAGGATTCCATGAAACGCATTGGATACAAAAGACCCTGATATCTGTATATTTTATAACCTGTTTTGGTGAAAGCGATGAATGAGATTACATTATGGAGTGATTTTATGAAATATTGTACAGTTGCAAGAAAAAGTATGTGAACCCCTTGGGACTACGTGGAGTTTGCATGAAGTGGGCATAAAATGTGCTCTGGACATCATCTAAGTCACAACAATAGAAGAACAGTCTGCTGAACATAATACTACACAAACATTAGATGTTGCCATGGTTTAATTGCACATAACATGTAAACATTCACAGTGCAGGGAGGAAAAAGTATGTGAGGCCCTAGCTTAATGACTTCTCCCAGAGCTAATTGGAGCCAGGAGTGAGCCAACCTTGACTCCAATCAGTGTGATGATATTGGATGTGTTGCTGACAGCTGTCCTGCCCTTAAAAAAAAAAAAAAAAACACACCTGTTTTGGGTTTACTGGTTTCAAGAAGCACTGTCTGATGTGAACCATGCCTCGCGGAAAAGAGCTCTCAGAAGACCTACCATCAAGAATTGTTGACTTGCATGAAACTGGAAAGGGTTACAAAAGTATCTCCAAAAGCCTTGATGTTCATGTGTCCACGGTAAGACAGACTGTCTACAAATGGAGAAAGTTTAGCACTGTTGCTACTCTCCCTAGGCGTGGTCGTCCTGTAAAAATGACTGCAAGAGCACAGCGCAGAATGCTGCATGAGGTAAAGAAGAATCCCAGAGTGTCAGCTAAAGACCTACAGAAATCTCTGGCACATGCTAACATTTTTGTTGACACATCTACAATAAGGAAAACATTAAATAAGAATGGAGTACATGGAGGACACCACGGAGGAAGCCATCGCTGTCCAAAAAGAATATTGCAGCACGTTTGAAGTTGGCAAAAGAGCACCTGGATGTTCCACAGCACTACTGGCAAAATATACTGTGGACAGATGAAACCAAGATTGAGTTGTTTGGGAAGAACACACAACACTATGTGTGGAGAAAAAAAGGCACAGCACACCAACATCAAAACCTCATCCCCACTGTAAAACATGGCGGAGGGAGCATCATGGTTTGGGGCTGCTTTGCTGCCTCAGAGCCTGGACAGACTGTTGTCATTGATGGGAAAATGAATTCCAGAGTTTATCAAGACATTTTGCAGGAAAACGTACGACCATCTGTCCGCCAACTGAAGCTCCGCAGAGGATGGGTGATGCAACAGGACAATGACCCAAAGCATACAAGTAATTCAACAAAACAATGGCTGCAACAGCACAGAATACGCCTTCTGGAGTGGCCCAGTCAGAGTCCTGACCTCAACCCGATTGAAATGCTGTGGCATGACCTTAAGAGAGCGATTCACACCAGACATCCCAAGAATATTGCTACACTGAAACAGTTTTGTGAAGAGGAGTGGTCCAAAATTACTCCAGATCGTTGTGCAGGTCTGATCTGCAACTACAGGAAACGTTTGGTTGAGGTTATTGCTGCCAAAGGGGGGTCAACCAGTTATTAAGTCCAAAGGTTCACATACTTTTTCCTCCCTGCACTGTGAATGTTTACATGTTATGTGCAATTAAACCATGGCAACATCTGTTTGTGTAGTATTATGTTCAGCAGACTGTGTTCTTCTATTGTTGTGACTTAGATGACCAGAGCACATTTTATGCCCAATTCATGCAAAACTCCACGTAATCCCAAGGGGTTCACATACTTTTTCTTGCAACTGTATGTTATATTAGCAGATTTTATATTTAATTGAATAAAGTATATTTTTTTAATAGTTGTGCCTCCAGATCCCATCTTTCACAATACGCTACTAGAAATTCTTTTGAAGTCCATTCCTTTATACGGTGACAGAAAGTAACATCTGAGAAGATTAAACTGTCACTTACTTTGTACAAATAGATTCCAACACCGAGAGCGACTGCGATCACAACAACACCACAGGCAATGCCAATAATCACAGCAAGTGGGAGGCCATTGTCAGGTTCTGAAAGAGAGAGACACATGAGATGGAGGGAACAGTGAGAATCATACAAGTGAGAAGTTCAGGAAAGATCTTTTATAATAGGAGACATTTCATAGTTGGACCTCATGCACATGGATGGTGAGAGGCGGAATATATGCTCAGTGTAGAATTCTGGGGGTTTTCTCACACCTGGGGGGCCGCAGGTTCCATGTACAGCCTGCTATAAATTGAATGGCTGTATGTGGCCGTATTCTTGTAAATGCTTCTGTGCATTCCTGCATGTACATATGACATGATCACCGTACACCAAATCTCCGTGTCCCCTCACCCATTACATGCACACGTGTGGGGGGTAAATGCCGATGCTCAGAAGCTCTCGTGGTTACATGTGTAAGGCTGCATACACAGCCAACCACTAGAATGGCAGGCTGTACATAAAACCTGAGGCTTCCAGAGCGAGAGGATGTCACCAGCACCCCATGGATCCCCAGAATGGGTCCAACGCTTTATTCAGCAATCACATCATTACAGTAGAAGCCTCTCAGGACCTCTTCATCAGGAATGTGACCGGAGGTCTCCAGGGTGCTGGAAAAGTCCCGGAATGTTATGCTGGGATTGTCTTTATCTGTCCAACTGAAATCAGCCGACAAATTGTGTGCAAAGGTGAGTGCAGATACATCATCTGACAGTAGGGCTTTGTTTACACTTGTGGTTGGAGTTTGCGCGTTTGGCAGCGTTTTTATCGCCCTACAACTGCTCCCACTAAAGCTGGCATAGCAGTGAGTGGGGTGTTCATGCCACAGCCATGATGCTTTGTCTTGTGGTGTAGAAAAATATGATCCCCACTTGGGACCATGTGCAGGGCTTTAGAGGGAAAAAGCAGGCTAAAGGAGGCAGCATAATGCTTCCTCACCCCCCTGTCAAATGCCTTTAGAAGATTGATCCACTGCAGATCGCTCCTCAGAGGGCACGGAAGGTGTAAACAAGCCTAAACCAGTTACCACCCCCAGTCTCATTTATCTGCCACGTTGCTCATGAAAAACATGTATTATTTGTTTCCAGGTATCAATCCCCGGCTGTTGTCATTGGCCAGGCTGCGATGATATCATTGGTCAGGCTGCGATGATGTTCCCTCCTGAATACTCCTGGGATGGATCACATAATTTGCCTAGGCATGGAAACTAGGAAGTAACTAAAGACATTTAAAAAACAGTTTAAAACAAGTAAATCTGATCTACTTTCCTATCTAGTTACTAATGATAGCGGCAGAAGGATTCATAATAGTCCATGTGGATTGAGAGAGTGAAGTTCCACTTTAAGAGCTATAATGAATATCCAATCACATGCAAGGAAGATAAAAAAAAAATTAGCATTTTTGCTTGTACATGATTGGACGACGGAAGTCATCTCATTTATGGAGCTCTGGAGCAAATTCCCTTGCAAAGTGCAACTGCAAGTAAACAGTCTATTTGGCTTTAGTAAATCAGCCCCAGTGTGTCTCTTCTGCATTAAACATTCTGCCTGCGTGCAATTATTTTTCCCACACTAAAGTTACACTTGAACTCCTTTTTCCTCTCGGTGGCCGGGGGGGGGGGTACTGGCAGCAGTTCTCCTGTACACAGGACTGTAGCCTCACCTTGCCTTAATCACAGGGATTGGTCGGTGACTATCTCATGTTCTTAGGTAACATAACATTTCAAAAAGAAAAGAAAATAAACTGTATTTTTGCTTGTAGATGATTGGATGATGGATGTCAGCAGATCTTCCCCTCATTTACTAAGCTATGGAGCAACTGCTCCTGCAAAGTGCTCAGTCTATTTGCCTTTAGTAAATCAAACCCAGACTGTCTATCAGTGTAATCAAGGCATTGCTATGGGGGTGTGGACTACACCTGGGTGACACCCGCTAGAGGGGTGACACCAGGATGGTCAGCATTCAGTAAAAAATATGGCAGTTCCAAAGCCGACTGGGTGTGAACATTTGTCAGGCCTCATGCTCAGGGAGTCAGTGGTGTCATGTTTAAACGAACGGCAGCAGCATGACAGTATCCTGGCACTTGGGTGATGTCTGCTGTCAGTAGAGGGGCCGACATCCCACAGAACAGAGCCGGCTCAGCTGGAGTCTCTACTAACTCACCTCCACAAATCTCTCTACTCTGCACCGGACCCTTCACAGCAAGGAGCAGCCAGCACCAGTGATGTCCCCATCACACAGTGAGTTGTTCTGGAGGGGGGACCCCAGCCTCTGCCCTCTCCATAGAGAGGAGTGCCGGGACACATTACATTGTCACAGGGAGGGATCGGGGAACAAGTGACCATCTGAAGAGCCGCCTCATGGATGGATGAGCCTAGGTAGCCAGAACTGTGTACAGTGTGCTTCCATGTCAGTCACTTTCTCTACCTCCCCCTTCCCTAACCTGCCCCCCTGGAATGCTCTGTGCCTGTGCTGAAAGAACTATAACCAGCTGTCAGGGGAGGTGAGGGGACCAGGAACCCGTCTTCAGGAGGGGGAGGGGGGGGGGTGTACATGTCTACTGCCTATGTGTGTGCTATACTGAGACAACACATGCTGAGGGACCGCTCACCCACTGTATACACAGAATCCCTGATAGAGGGACAGTCCCTCTCCTTCACCCACTACGGTGTATGGAATCACCCAGGTGCCTGATTAATGAGAAGAATGGACCCCTCCCTGCACCATCCATGACTGCTGGAGACTCCAATGCCATTCTGAGCACAGCTATGACCACAATCTCCTGCACCACGTCTGCAGTCTCTGACCGTCCCTTGTAGTATATCTGCAGTCTATGATCTTCTTCTGTAGTAGGTCTGCAGTCACTGACAGTCTCCTGTAATATGTCTGCAGTCTCTGACCATCTCTTGTATCATGTCCACTATTTCTGGCTCTCTCTTGTATCATGTCCACAGGAGGGGGGGATGGAATGACACCATGCTGTACTGCACCAGGTGACACCAACCCTAGTGACACCACTCTGTATAACAGTTCAGTGGTGCCCAGTACAGAGCACATATATCAGGAGTCAGGAATAAATACACATTACATGGATATTTTAATGATTTCTCTTAAAAAGGACCTATTTAAAAATAAATAAATCAATAATTTTACCATCTTTACAATCATAGAGGCAGATCTCATGTGCATTCATGATTAGCTTTTTTATTAAAATATCTTCTACTCACCGTATTTCTTAGTAAGAACATCCTCCAGGCTGCCGTGGTCCACAAGACAGGAGTAAGTGTCTCCCTCCTTGGTTGGCACTTCCACACTGACTCTGATCTGATAGGTGCCATCAGGATGGGGGAGAATTGGAGTCATTTCATCTGAAGGAACATGATCCACCCCATTCCTCATCCACTTCACATCCACATCTCGGGGGTGAAACCCGTACACCAGGCAATGAAGTCTGGTCACATCATCCGACTGACGGCGGCCCCACACCTTCATCTCTGGACGCACTGAGAGGGAGATAAAACAAAGAGAATACATAAAGTCACTGATTGTAAACAGGTATAAGAGGGTCAAACACATACAGAGGCAGAAAATGTGACATTATTTGTCAGAATCTTGGTGAACAATGACTTGTGAATGATTGATTGTGCAATCTGGCAGATCAATGTTACTCCAAAGATCTTATTCTGGAAGCTGGACTCCAGTAAAGTATACACAGGTGAAGATCATATCCAGGGAAATGTTTTACCTGCTTAACAATTTGTCTCTCTCCATCCAGTCCTGAGATTACACAACCTCCTGTCTGGCAGATAAGGGACCGGATATTTTTCTGCTTTAGGTAAGTAACACTTGGAGGTCTCATTCCCACCCCCAACCTGAGACTGGAAAGTGAAAAGATGACAGCCGACTGATGAGCTTCATCTCTATCACAATAGCATGTTAAAAGGATCAGTTCACCCTAAGTAACATCTGACCGGCACCCCCCCCCCCCCCGATCCCTGCTGTGACAGGTAGTGGGGGGATCTTCTCCCCACTTTTTACCTGAAAAAAAAAAAAATGTGCATTTACTATCTGAGTTCTGCTTCAAACGGCTGATGCCAGGTTAAACTAAGGTACTTGCACTGCTTACATCTAAAAAATAAATTTTACGTTGTAATTATTATATTATTATTAGCGCCAACAGTTTGCGCAGCGCTGTAATTATGAATACAGACCAGCAGTGATCCATTTCTAGCATTCAGCTTTAGGAAATACATATGCCTTTCCCACACAGGATAAAGTAACAGGTTCACTTGAAGCCCAACTCCAGACAACTACACAATGATCCTGTGCAGAGGAGCTGTGCCAGCACTACAAGGGTTAGTCCATCATTTAGGTCTAGAGGAACAATAACAGAAGATTTACTTACCCGATCCTCAATTCCTCCCGGCTGCTAAACGGCTCCATGCAGCATCTTCTCTCCCACACTTTAGGGGTCTCAGGTCCTGAAGTCATCCAGAACATAGAAGGGTCCATAGCCTTGGATGTCACAACGCTGACGTAGACTCCACCGCCAGAGGGGGGAGCATCATCCTCCAGGGGAGCAGAGGATCAGGTTAGGTACACTCGCTGGTGTACCTAAATCCACTATTAATCAACAATATGTACAAAATTGTGCAGCCAGAATCCTGAATAGATCTGGTACAAGTGACCATATTACCCCTATCCTGGAGTCCTTGCACTGGCTGCCTGTCAGGTTTCACATTGACTTTAAGATCCTCTTGCTCACCTATAAGGCTCTTCATGACTTGGCACCCCATTATCTGAACTTTTATCAACTTACCCCCCCCCCCCTCGTAAATTCTGGTCTTCTGTGTATCCCCCCTACTCACCTACACTGGATGGGAGACAGAGCCTTCTCCTGATATGCTCCAAAACTCTGGAATTCACTTCCAAGGAACATCAGAGAGTCGTCTTCTCTAAACTCATTTAAGTCAAATCTAAAACCTTTTATCTTTAGACAATCTTTCCCTCAATGGTCCCTTTTTTCCTTTGTTTTATCCTGTGTATTTCTTGTGTTTCTGTGTAAAGCGCTTTGAGAAGATACCTGCGGGGGGGGGGGGGGGGGGGGGGTCCATGGATGTGACCCGTCTGTATAGTACACTTCCACCTTACAGCCGAGTGGTTGCAGCAAAAGGGTTAAGCCACCATAGCAAATATTTGGCCCCGTGACCCCAGGAACATACATATATAAAGTGTAAGATGTCACTTTTTTGTGTTCTGTCTGTTTATTTGAGGCATTCCTCAGCCTCATTCCTACCCTCCTCCCTTCCTGAGAGGCAAAGTATCTTCTGGCAGATGGTGTGGGGGTCAACCAGGTTAAGACATCCTGTGTCCAGCAGTCCATAAAGGCTGTAAAGTGTACTTCCTCCCCCATCTTAATCAAGATAAGATAATTGCACATTCCTCAGGTGAACTGTATGTTTCATATCACGGGATATGGAGCTGGTAATTTAGTGTAGAGTTTCCCAATGATCACTCCCAAGTCAGAGCCCCCCCTCCCCTTTGAGAGGGACCTTTAAGAGAGTTAGTCTGACTGACACACTGACACAGAGATCTCCCAGCAACATCGTAACAAGAGGAGATCAAAGAACTCACCCTGCTCACAACTTGGACTGCAAACCCAGGCTAAGGGCAAGTAACTCAACCCTGTAATCTTCTTCCTAATTATCTCCTTGCTGTGTCTTTATATACATATATTTTTGTGACATCTCTTTGTAAATATTTATTTGCATCCAACGCTTTTAGTAATAAATCTTTCTTTCTGAAAGTGTTAAACTGTTTCTAAGCGCTTACTTGTAATTCACGAATCCCTGCCTTTGAAGAGACGCTACGGTTTGTTATATCTCTGTATAGCAGGTCCGCGGGCCGTGCTATATAGATCAATATATCAATCATTATAATGTATATTTGATAATGGGAGTTTCCCAGTCTCCGACAAAAGTGGTGGTGGCAGTAGAGGGTTAGTTATATAACTAACCCAACCCAGTAACAAGCGCATTCAGGCTGCAGGCACCGATTGTAGTCCATTAGCTGGGCAATCGCTGTGTAGGGTGCAGCTGGGTGGGGCCTTGTTACGCGCGTCACACCGCGGTTTTGGATCGGCCGGCCCTTCGGTCACGAGTTTGGTGAGAAGGTCTGGGGTCTGACGCCGTGGGTGTTACGTATTACTGTTAGTCGCGGCCGTGTGATTGTCGCCTGTTGGTGGTGGCAGTCGCCATCTCACCGTCATGCAGAATGTTAACGCTTTACACCTGACTTTATGCATCTCATAATATATTTTATAAACATTTTACCAAAATTGGGTAATATATTGTCTATCTAAAATGAACCTTAGTGCAACGATCTGTCAAGCGCACATTTTCAGTAAAAAAAATACACTAAAATCATGTGACATAAAAATATTGGATAAAAATTACCATTCTATTCTTCAGGGTCTCTGCTTCCAGAAAATATATAATGTTTGGGGGTTATAACTAATATATATAACTATCTTCAGGCTTTTTTTTTTTTTAACATAAGTTCAAAAAAAAAAAAAAAAATGTACAAAAGCAGCTCTAGCAATGAAAGGGTTAATATTTAATTTTCTCTCAACAGGCTAAAGTGGAACTAAATCCACCGACTGAACCGTTTCTAAAAACATGCCGAGAATGATAACGGTCACAGTTGCTTGTGTCAACTGAACTGTCAAGCCATCAAATGTCTGGTGTCATAACTGATCACATGTGGGGCACCATGGCAACTGCAGATCACACAGAGGCCAACATGGCGGCTTCCTTGGCTAAAGGATCGAAGGGTTTAGTTCTGTTTCAGGAATCACACGAGCTCCACTCTAACAATTCATTATTCTAATGTGCTTCCCTGACATGTGCTGTAAGGTGACCACACGGTACAATCTATGGTGGGGATAAAAGGTTCAAAAATAAGACATTTATAACCAAAATGAAGGTATCTTGGATGAGAGAAGAGATTGTACCATGTATTTCCAGCTCTTCTCTGGGACAGATTCTTCATCCTGTATAATTCTCTGTTTGGATGTTAGATTTGGACTTTTGGTTTTGGGTGGAGCACATGTTGTACACGGCTCAAACAAATACCATAAAGTCAATGACACTCCTGGAGTATTGATCTGGTCTGTTAAGTAGCAGAGGGGGTTGTTAATCAGTTTCAGCTGCTTTGGCGTTAATGAAATTAACAACAGATGTACTAGATGGGCAACAATGTGATGACCCCCAAAACAGGAATGGTTTTACAGGTGGAAGCCACTGACATTTTTTCCCTACTCATCTTTTCTGCTTTTCACTAGTTTTGTATTTGGCTAGGGTCAATGTCACTACTGGTAGCATGAGGCCATACTTGGACCCTACAGAGGCTGCACAGGCAGTCCAACTCCTCCAGAATGGTACATAAACACGTGCCATTGCCAGGTTTTCTGCGTCTCCCAGCACAATCTCAAGAGCATGGAGGAGATTCCAGGAGACAGGCAGTTACTCTAGGAGAGCTGGACAGGGCTGTAGAAGCTCCTTAACCCATCAGCAGGACCGATATCTGCTCCTTTGTAGGGGTCTGGCGGGGCTCATCCTGTTCCTCCTTACACAAAATAACCTCCAGCAGGCCACTGGTGAGAATGTCTCTGACCAAACAATCAGAAACAGACTTCATGAGGGTGGCCTGAGTGTTCATGACGTCCTCTAGTGGGCCCTGTGCTCACTGCCTGGCACCACGGAGCTCGATTGGCATTTGCCATTGAACACCAGAATTGCCAGGTCCACCACTGGCGCCCTGTGCTTTTCACAGATGAGAGCAGGTTCACCCTGAACACGCGACAGACATGAAAGGGTCTGAAGAAGCCATGGAGAACATTATGCTGCCTGTAGGCTGGACAATGGCACCCTGACTGCCATTAGGTATCGGGATGAAATCCTTGGACCCATTGTCAGACCCTACGCTGGTGTGGTGGGTCCTGGGTTCCTCCTGGTGCAGTGGGTCCTGGGTTCCTCCTGGTGCATGGCAATGCCCGGCCTCATGTGGGGAGAGTATGCAGGCAGTTCCTGGAGGATGAAGGAATGGATACCATTGAATGGCCCCCACTCTCGCCTGACCTAAATCCAATAGAACACCTCTGGGATATCATGTTTCGGTCCATCCGACACCGCCAGGTTGCACCTCAGACTGTCCAGGAGCTCAGTGATGTCCTGGTCCAGAACTGGGAGGAAATCCCCCAGGACACCATCCGCAATCTCATTAGGAGCCTCCCCCGACGTTGTCAGGCATGCATACAAGCACGTGGGGGCCATACAAACTACTGAGGACCATTCTGAGTTGCTGCAATGACATTTCAGCAAAATGGACTCGCCTGCTGAATAATTTTTTCACTTTGATTTTCGGGCGTCTTTGAATTCAGTCCTCTGTAGGTCGGTGATTTTCATTCCCATCAATCAATGCGGCATCCTTACATTCCTAACAC